GGGCTAATAACCAAATTAACAGAGACAGATTAACAGGAGAAAATAAAAGTTTAATACATGCTCATGGGGAAGTCACATAGACATGATACATACGTGAAAATACCAAAGACAGCCAGGCAACATTGGGTGTACACGACATTTTTGGAAAAAGAAGAAAGGGGGAGGAAACATAGGATATTAGATTTCAGAAGGGTAGGGGGGATTCACAGGTGGTTGAGGAAGAGCAGAACATACATGGCAGGAAAATCCTTGCTGGGGAACTCAGAAACAATGGGGCACAGGGAGTGCCTAGCTAACAGGCACCTGCCTGAAGCTGCCTTGTTTACCATACGTAGTTCATATTGGGCAGAGGCAGCATCCTAAGATCTCCTTCCTCAAGCAGATTTCTGTCTGAATCTCTTGGGCAAGAAAAGGGGGAGGGTCAAAGGTTCTGAGTCATTTATTTCTTAATAAACATTTAAATATCCATATCCCATTTGGAATGGCAGACTTTTGGTTAACACCTTTCTGGTTAAACAAATGCTCTCACTCATCACTTAACCATTCAGTGAACATTTACTTCCACTGCCATGTGCTCGATCATGTGTTGGGCAATCCTGGGCAATAGAGGACAGAGATGATGGAGACCCAGTTCCTGCTCTCAGAGACCTGCAAGTGCAGGTATAAAGGCAGACATAAAGGGAGGAGTGGGTAAGAGGGTGACAGGTGAAGGAAGATCCTGGGCTCTGAGGGACAGGGATGTGGAGGGAGGAGTAGTGACCCTGTTATTGGTGAGGTGCCCTCTGTGTCCCCGCCTGTTGCTGGTGGAAGTGGGCTTCTTGGGGTGCAGCAGGAACAAGAATTTCCTGAGGCCCCCATGGGAGGATGAGGTGTCCTGGAAAGCTTTATTGATGACATAACATGAAGGGAGCTCCCCTCCATGATCTCATCGCCCTCCATTCTGTCATAGATTCCCATTTTGTCTGTAGTAGAGCTAGAATTAAAGCCACCGCCCAGAGTCTTTGCTCCGTATTACAGCACAGTCCAGTCCTGCCTTTGGCTAGCGTAGCTTGTGCTCAAGCCGCTGTCCATTGTGTGTGGGGTCTGCATGGGCCATATGGCATGCTAGCGTGGGTCATGGAGCAAGCGAGTGCAAGGAAGCAGAGTGAAGCCAGAGGAACAAGAGAGAGGTAACTCTTTGTCTCAGGGTTATAACCAGGAGCTTCACCAATTAAGCCTTCAGGATTTCACATGCTTGCAGTGGCTCTGTCATTCTGGCCAATAATCTTTGTTCCCCAGGCTAGACTGACAAGCAAGCACCTTCCCGACATCACCCCAACTTCACGGAGCATGCGCCCATCTTCCCCTTTGTTGGACCCCTTCCCCCTGTGATTTGCAGGGAATGGACAGGTGGTCCCTTGAGAAGTGTGAAATTGCAGCTTCCTGGTGAAGCTGCCCAGATGACCATACTTACAATGTCTGGCCTCTCCTTTGCTTTCTTCCTATTATTAATATTAACCAGCTAGTTATGATGGTAACAAACCCACATCTAGTAAATCAAAGAAGGCAGTTTTGTCTGCACTTTATATAAGGAAACTTAGGCTGAGAGAGCAGTGACGACCTAAGGCCACATAATCAGAAAGTGGCCAGGCCTGCCTGTGATCCAGAGCCTTGTCTCTTGGCACAGTGCCTCACACTGTAGTGAACACTGGGATGGAGGGCAGCAGAAATCTGAGCCAGACACTGCAGAGCCTGCGAAGAGTTCTCAGTCTGGTGGGGAGGTGGCCATCCATACTCCACTCTCAAGAATGTTCACCAAGCACAGCTTGCTCACCTGGTGGCTGTATCAAAGGGTGTCCTGGCCCCTCCTGGGGAGCTGCAGCCTGCTGGGTGTTGAGGATGCACACCAGGGTCAGAGCAGTGACAATCCCCAAGAAGTCTCATCCTGGGCAAGCAGAGGGTTCCAACCCACATGAATTCATGGCCTCTGATGTTCATTCATCCATCCACTTGTGTGGTTCTTCATTCAGTCGCCATACAGTACTGAGAGCCATTTGTGTACCTGCCAGATGCCAGTCCACCCTTGCTGCTTGACACAGTCGCTGCAGGGAAGAAACATCTGCACAGCTTATGTTTCAAGGGACCTGGGATATATGGCATATGTTTGCTCCTCCTCTTAACACTATGTGTTTTAAACAGGACCACCTCCCCGAGAAAGGTTGTTTCCCCATGTGAGGATTTTTCCCTGAAGTTAGGGAGGGAATAAAACCCCTTAACTAAGTGCCAGGCGCGTAGCTAATCATGTTAAATATGAACAATCACGCTTAAACTACATAATCTTTACTTAGGCTAATCTCCTTCAGTTACTTCCTTGTAGCTTAATATAACAATAGAGTAACCTTGGAATGGAGATAAGAAACGCCCTAACCTTTGGAATACAATTGATAGGATTAAAATCAACTGGTATAAATACAGATGTAACAAGACAATAAACACAGAGCCTGGCTGGAGAACCTGGCTATGCTGATCAACTGAATGCTGTCTCTGTGTCCTTCATTCTTCGTCGACTCTGTCCACACCTTTGGGAACCCCTGGATCTGCTGGGGGAGCCCCGTACCCAGCCTGTATGTACTGGGGGAGCCTTCCTTTCCTCTCCAAACACCAGTCTTGAGCCCTCAGCACGTGGGGCTGCAGCCCTGTGTCTGATTTGTGTATGTACATGACTGCTGCTCAGTGGCCTGGACATTCCCAGGGCAGGGACCTGGTTTCACTCCTCCCTAGTTGACCTAGAGGAGACTGTACAGGCTCTTTGGTGCCTCAGAACTTCTCTTTGCTGTTCCCAGCATTCCCTCTCCAGGAATGGGTGTTCTAGGCCGGATTGCAAGGGCAGAAGGTTTGTGTGAGCACAAAGAACACACTCCCTAGGTCTACTGATCAGCTCCAAAGCAGAAGTCAGAATTGGAGGGGCCCAGGTCACAGGGATTGGCTCTGTTTCCCACTGTACTGATGAGAAAACTGAGGCAGCCAATACCCCCACCCCCTAAAACATAGCTCCTAGTTCTGCCAAGGCCTGAGCAGCTATCCTGGGAGGTCCTCTGGCCTCACATTTAGATGCTTTGATGGGGGATGGGAGTTCTCTCTGGAATGGGCTGCTGGTGGGTGTGATGGAGGAGGGGCAGCTGCTCCCATTCTGAGGACATTCCCTCCCAAAGTGCTTTTGATCTCTAGTGAGCCTGGCCCAAACCTCCTAATTCAGCCCCAGGATTACCCTGCATGAAGGACAAAGAGGGGTGTGTGTGTGTAGGGGTGGGCTGTGGGGGAGAGTGAACAGGCAGGATAATACTGAAGGATCATTCCAGGGCTCATTCTCCAGCTCTCCTTGACAATGAGGGGGAGTCTCTTGACCCCATACCTGGGGGCACACACTGACCAGTGAAGTGTGAAATGAGGTGGGGACATGGGTCTGTGGGATTACACACACATGCTCGATATGCGTGGGTACCTGTGTGTTTGGAGGGGATTGTGAGCACCATGAGGGCCAGGGTACATTCAATGGTGCCACGAAAGATGCTTCCAGAGGCTTTGACCTTCCCCGAATCGTCGTCAGCAACATCAGCCCCCCTTCTGTTGATGTGGACAAAACTATCTTGTCTCAAGAGCCACTTGGAGACCAGTCCGTTCAAGTGGTCCAGAGCGCAGACATGAACTGTGCACAAGAATGTTCTACAGATCAAATTCTGCTTAGAGGCCTGGGGCATGGTGTTCATCCTCAATCTGGGGGTGGGGTGTAGTCGGGGTGCACCTGAGTTCAGGGGATCACTGCCCTGGCCTCTCCTGCACAACACAGGTCTGTGCATCACAGCTCCTGCTCCCAGCCCAGCCGTGGTCTCCTTCTGCAGAACCCCCAGGGCAGGCCCTTCCTTTGTCTCCATAGACATCATTCTCCAACAGGAGCCCCACTGCCTTCTCAGGCCGTAAATAATTAAGTAGTTATTAATTCCAATGGGATATATATAAAAGAAAAACAAGTTGCAGAATACACCCAGTACAACACAATTTATATAATGTCACTTTAAAAATTTAGATAAAATGATAAAGAAATGAAAGTATAAGGAAAAAATAAAAGATTCCAATCCAGCCTACTAGGAATTTAGGATAAAAATAGAAATAACTGATAAAAATAGGAAGATAATTGCCGGAGCTGGCAAAGTCTTACGTCTTCAGACCCAAAGAACCCTGTCTGCCAGCCAGATGACTCGGGGGTGGGATGGTGGGGGAGGGGGGAGAATTGACATCCAAACATGTCTTCATGTAATTTCAGAATTATGAAAAAGAGAAAATCCTTATATGCTTCCAGTTGTGGGGAAGACGAGAGATTACTTGCAACAAATAAACAAACACACACACAAACAAGAAACAGAATTAGCATTAGACTTTATCCAGAACACAGGACTCTAAAAAATTGAAGACATTCGGGAGCACAGACATGAACTGTGCACAAGAATGTTCTTGCAGGTCGAATTCCCTGTAGAGGCTTGGGGCACAGTGTTTGAGCCTTCCCAGATCCAGTGAAAATGGTAGAATTCTGTACTCAGTCAAGTCAATATCAATAAAAACTAAGATGAACCTTAACAATAAAGTCAGTTAAAAATGAAGGCATTTTCAAATCATGCGAGGACTTGGTCCTCTATGATCCCTCCCACACATCTTTTCTGAGAAAAAAAAAATGAGGTTCCTCCTGCACATTGGCACTCAGGTGCGGTGCCAGGGTCTGGGCTGGGAGAAGTGGTTTCTCTGGGAAGGGAGACAGGCCTGGTGGAAGGTGGGGATGCAGAAGATGAGGCTGGGAATGGGACTGAGTCACTGTGGACATCTCACCTGACAGCCCAGGCCTTGAGGGCATACTTCTTTCTGTGCTTGGCACAGCCAATAGTGCCCTGGGCAGGCTGGTGGGATGAGGCCAGCTACTGCCAGGGTGAAGCTGGCTGCTCATAAAGAGGGAGAGCCGCCCAGGGCCCATCATGAGCTGCAAGTCCATGGCCAAGATGAGGGGTAAGTGGAGTCCTTTCTCTACGTCTGAGAGAGGCACCAGCAGAAGGAGGGATTGAACTCTGAAACAGGGACAAGAGCTATATCCAGGGGTGGGATGGGCTGAGGGAGTTGAGATGGATCCAAAGGGGAGTCTGGATATAGGGTCACGCAAGGGGAAGGAGGATGGGGACTGAGATGCGACAGGAACTAGACTAGGGGCTATGGGGAGGTCCGGGTATTGAAAGTGAGTCAAGAGAATGGATATAGGAATGAGTCTGGGGGCTGGGCCCATTCAAGAGAAAGGGCATGGGGTCTGAGAGAGGAATTGTGGCAGCCCAGGGAGATGGAAAAATGTGTCAGGGGTGGAGAATGGATTAATGAGGCTGAAGTAGGCCTGGGGGAGGGAAAGAGGGCGAGGCTGAGGCATGGGTACCCTCCCCACTTTTCTGAGGAGCCACCCCTGCAGGAGGCTCTCTTGGCATTGGGAAGGGCCTGCACTGGGAACAGCTGGGTGGCTTGCCTCTTCTCAAGGGCAGCCCCTGGAGATCCCTTTTCTCTTGTGAACCTCGGTGGTCCCGCCTGTACAAAGACTAGACCAAGCGTTCTCACCTGCCCCAATCCCACAAGTGCAAGGGGGCACAACGTGCCCCAGCTCCTGGCTTTCCCTTTAAGAACAGGCAACAGGATGTATTGCATGTTCTATACCAACACTGGTTTCAATCTCGGCTGCACGTTAGAAACCCGGAAGGCTTTGGAAAAAACACTGTGAGGCTGGGGAAGAGGGACAGGACTGCCAAGGTCCCCGGGGCTAGTGATGTCACTGAGAACCTGGTCACAATTCCTCCACTCCCTTCCCTGGGGAGATGTGCTTCACACACTCACGTACACACACACACACACACACACACACACACACACACACACACACACACCATCCTCTCACAAATGTACATATTCCCAAAGGACACACCATCCTTTCACAAATGTACATATTCCCAAAGGACACAGATACCTTCAGGCCCCCCCCACCCCCCGCACCCCCCACCTAGCCTCACACTCAAATGCACACACAGAATTAAATACAAGAACACAAGCAACCATATTCTCTCTCCAACTCAAGCAAATGATCTCTTCCAAACCCAGGCTAACACACACCCAACACACCCAGGCTTATACACACACACTACATCCCATCTCGCTGTCCCATACAGATTCATGCACACATTTGCTCGGGTAACACACTGTCCCACAAACACATCCCCTCACATAAAATCACAGACAATGCACAGTCTGGGCACAATACAGTGCAACAATCACCAACTCACAGTCACAGCAACTTGTATCACAGACAAGCTCACACACAGGCACACTCGCCACCAGAAGCAGGCATATTTACAGTCAAATACAAATCTGCATACATTGCATGATTTCCAATCACGTGCAAACACATGAGCTTGCAGTCCACAATTACAATCACACAACTAACACCAGCATGGTTCGCACATCCATTCGTACCCACACAACACAATCACCCACCAGAGACAATCACAAACATAAGTGTTTACAACCACACATTCAACAGACTCTGCCTGGCCTTACCATCCCCGCGCGTTCACGCAGCCAAGCTCATCCTGGGGCAGGTGGGATAAAACGCCTGGGCCCCAGAAAAACAGCCCCCACTCCTTTCTCTGCCCCAGGAATACTGGTCTTGGGGCTCCTGTTGGCTACTCCCAGCTGCCTTGGCCACCATGAGGACCTGGCCAAGTGCTTCCAGGACCCTGAGTACGAGTCCATCGTTGTCACAGCCCAGGAAGGCCTCCACACGGCCCCACTGCCCCGGCGCGTGGTGGTGGTGGGAGCTGGCATGTCCGGCCTGGTGGCAGCCCAGGCCCTGCAGGACGCTGGCCACCAGGTGAGCCGGCTTTGGAGGGGCCTCAGCCCTTTGCCTCTGGGTTTGCTTGCTTGGGTGGGAAAAGATCAAGAAAACAATTGCATGTAACCCACTGGATCTCTTAGCCCTTAGTCATTGTTTCTCAAAACTCCCCTGAGAGTCGGCCTTAACTGCAACCTGTGTTCTCCTGGAAACAAAAGTAGAGAAGGGGTTTGCTAACAGGTAAAGACCAAGAGGCACGCTGTCCCCTGCCACGCGGAACCTTCTGCCTCACTCACATACTGAGGACCCTCCCGGAGGGCTCCGTATCCCCATGGTTTGGTTATCTTGCACATTCGGGGACCTAGCGCTGGGGATCCAGATTAGAGCCTGTGACTGGGTGACTGGGTGGGGGGAGTACAGGGTGGAGAAGGGAGAGCCTGGCCCTGGGAATGACAGCAGCTTCTCGGGACCCCAGGTTTCCGTCTTGGAAGCCAGCAACCGCATTGGGGGTCGAGTGGTCACAATCAGGAACAAGGAGGAGGGCTGGTACCACGAACTGGGGCCCATGCGAATCCCAAAGTCCCACAGGTAAGTCCTGGGAAAGGTTTGGAGGGAGGATAAGTAGGGGTGATTGGGAGGAGGTAGTGTGGGTCCTGCTGCCATTGAGTTAGAGCCCATTCAGATTCACTGTCCCGTTGGATCGGATCCTGCAAGTCGGGACTAACACTGGTCTCCCACTTGACAGAGACCAGTCCATATCCTCAGAGCCCAGGGTCACAGAGAAAGTGGAAGATCCTAAACTAATAATGATAATAATGACCATTAACTCATCAAATTGTATACTTTACATATGGGCAGCTTCTTACCTGTCAGTTATACCGCAGTGAGCTATCAAATGATAACAGCTGGCTGAAACCGGTTTGACTCAGTGGATAGAGCGTCAGCCTGCGGACTGAAAGGTCCCAGGTTCGATTCAGGTCAAGGGCATGTACCTGGGTTGCGGGCATATCCCCAGCAGGAGATGTGCAGGAGGCAGCTGATCGATGTTTCTCTCTCATCGATGTTTCTAACTCTCTATCTCTCTCCCTTCCTCTCTGTAAAAAATCAATAAAATATATTAAAAAAAAATGATAACAGCTGCCATTTGCCGAATGCTTACTATGTGCATTATTTCATTATTGCAATTTGATACTCTTATGTTTCCCACTTACAAATCAAGAAACTGGACTCAGAGATAGTAAGTGACTCACCCAAGACTCTCCCAGGAGAAAATGACAACGCTCCTCAAAAGCAGGGGCATGCCTGGCACAAAAGAAGATGCTTGACTTCAAAACCCTAATCCTAACCCTAAAACTGTACCCAGCTCCTGGAAAAGAACCTGGCCTCTGGTCCTGAGGCTTCCAAGACAAAAAGACCCCTCAGCTGGTGTCCCATAGACCTCTTTTTTAAAAAATATTTTTATTGATTTTAGAAAGAAAGGAAGGGATAGAGAGATGGAAACATCGATCAGCTGCCTCCTGCACCCCCTACTGGGGATCAAGCCCCAACCCCCCAGCACATGCTCTGCCTGACTGGAAATCAAAACGTGAGGCTGGGGAAAATATGACTTCTTTTTAAAATATAAACGGAACCTGAGATTTCCCTCAAAACACCACCAAAAACTAAAACAAAACCCAAGTGAATTAGCCCAAACTAGAAGTCTTTAGATACAGCCTCGAGCTTACCTAGGAACGGAAAGTGGAATTTCAAATACTGTCTGAAACAACAGGCCTCTGGTTCTATATTTGAACCCTGTACACTGGTATTTCCTAAAGGGCCTTCATTCTGTGATGGGTGAACTCCCTACTCCCCACCTCCCTCAGGGCAAAAACAGAAGGAAATGAACTAATGCCACAGCAAGGAGACACAGGGGTAGAGATGAGGAAGGAGTTAGTCTGAGTTCCCTGGGCACATAAAGAAACTAGTTTTCCCGGAAATGGCTCCTATTGTGCGGCCAGCAGGAATGCGGTGCCATTGGGATGGGTGTCATGCTGATGTCTGTACTTTCTCCAGGCTGGTTCACACCTATGTCAAGAAGCTGGGCCTGAGGCTGAACACATTCATCCATTACAATGACAACGCCTGGTACCTCATCAATGGACAACGCTACCGCATGAGAGAGGTCAAGGCCAACCCAGAGATCCTGGGCTACTCCATGAACCCCACAGAGAAGGGCAAGAATGCTGAGAATCTCTCCCACCAGTCCACTGCCAACGTGCCTCCTGCCTCACCCCTCCCAGGGATGGGAAAGAGCAGGGTCTGGCCTGAAGTCACCACGCAAGTGAGTGGATGGACCCAGTCACCTGACTCTTAAACAATACACGCCTGATTGGTCTGCCTTCCCTCTAACACTCCCTAAGAATGCTACCACCCAACCCTGGTACCCAACCCCATATTCTCTGTCCCTGGGTGGCCCATGAAATTGCTTGATCAGTGGCAATGGAAGGAAAGGGAACCCGTGGTATTGAATCAATCCTGCTAGGTTGCAGTGAATGTCTTGACCTTAAACTTTAGTCTTCACACATCTTTAAACGAAGGGGAGACTTTAGGAGAAAGAGAAGCATTTAGGAGCTCCTGGAAGTGTCTTCCTTGGGTCCTTCCCTCCCCCACCGTTTTGTCTCCTCCCTCTTCAAAGGGACATCCTGAGAGCCCAGGAATACTGCTTCTGGACAATTAGCTTTAACCTAAAGCTGCTTCCCCTTCCTGCCCTTTTGCAGATCAATCAAAGTGTGAAAAATTTCAACTGCAGCCACCTGATGTCCTCTTCTAACTCCACCAAGGTGAGTGAGGCAAAGGTAGAGACGGAGGGATGGGGTGCTCAGCGTAGCTGCCGGAGGTTGTCCCCTGCCTACCAGGACCTCTCTTCCCACTGCCATGCCTTTGCCTCCCTGGAGTCCAGGCCCACCCCTGGCCTGACCTGGGCCCTGCTAAAGCCCCTTCCTATACACTGGGCCCTCCATCTGGCATTTCTACCTCCCCACAGGCTTACCTGGTGAAAGAAGGGATGCTGAACCCGGGAGCAGCCAGGATGATCAGGGATATGATGAATGAGGATGTTGAATTCAAGTCATTCCTAGAGTCCGGGAAATCTGACATCATCTTCTCCAAAAGTGATGAGTAAGACTGATCTAAATCAGAACTCAAATCTGCCCCCTCCTCCAATCAGAGCAGAGAAAGGGAACTTGGATTACTGAGCAGTTACTATGTGCCAGGCACTGCCCTAAGCACTTCCCAAGCATTATGGCATTTAATCCTATGATCACCTAGAAGGTAGGTACCATTATTCAGAGCCAGTGAGGCTTCTGCGGCCCAGCGAAATTATGAAACAGCCAAGTTGGCACAACTGGGCCAAGGGCTGGAACCTGAATCCAAACCCAGGTCTGTAGGATTCCTCTTGGGATGCAGAATTGCATGGTGGCTGAACCCACGGCCTGTCATCGTGGGAAACACCCTTTTCTCTTGGTGTCAGTGTTCCAAACTAGAAAATTTAAGGCTAATCCTTCTCTCGCAGAGACTGTTTAAGATGACGTATGAAGTATGTATATGAAGCTAGCTTCTTCCCCTTTCAGACCAGGATCCCTGCTGGAGACGGGGCGACCTGGCCTCACGCCTCCCACCCTCACCCTCGGCTCTCTTCACCTCCACAGCTTTACCGAGATCACAGGTGGCTTCGACCAGCTCCCCGAAGCCCTGAGGGCCAGCTTGAAGCCTGGCACCATCCATCTGGGCTCCAGGGTGGAGCTGGTAGTGAGGGATGGGCCTGAGGTCCACGTTTCCTACCGGGTGGGCAAGTCCAACTCTGCACTGCACCACCTCACAGCGGATTTTGTCATCATCTCCGCCTCCGCCCGCGCCACAAGCCTCATCACCTTTAGGCCGCCACTCTCGCTAGACAAGGTGGACGCGCTGCGCTCGGTGCATTACGTCAGCGCTACCAAGGTGGTCCTGGCCTGTAAGGAGCCCTTCTGGGAGCGGGATGGCATCCACGGCGGGGTCTCCATCACCGACGGGCCGTCGCGCTACATCTACTACCCCAGCCACAGCCTTCCCAGCGGCAAGGGTGTCCTGCTGGCGTCCTACACGCTGGGCGACGATTCCCTCTTCTTCGCGTCCATGAAGCACGAGCAGGTGGTGGCTATCGTCCTGGAGGACCTGGCGGCGGTGCACCAGATGCCCAAGGAGGCGCTGCGGCACCTGTGCCCCTCCTCTGTGCTCAAGCACTGGTCTCTGGATCCCCTCGTTGGGGGCGCCTTCGCTGTGTTCACTCCCTACCAATCTAAGGACTATGTGCCGCGGCTCTCCCAGCCAGAGGGCCGCATCCACTTTGCTGGCGAGCACACCTGCCTGCCCCCTGGCTGGATCGACACTGCCATCCAGTCCGGCCTCCGGGCAGCCAGGAACATCCAGGCTGCCGTGGACCAGGAGGCCAGAGGAGGCAGGCCTTTGCCAACACCCAGAACAGTTCCTGACGTGGAAAGAAGGCCCTGAGGGAACCTGGCAGGGCCAGCTGGCAGGTGGGAGTGCGAGGCGGGGGCTCAGGAGACAGGCCATCATTAGTCTGCCTGGCCCTCAAGCAGCCCCCAAAATGGCAGATAATGAGCCCAGCTGGCGAGTCCGCAAGAAAATCATCCCTTTTTCTGTGTCTCTCCCCTACCCGCCCTTGAGGAGAAACAGCAGAGTCAGGGTGCAGTAGACCCCCTCACGAGAGGGGGTAAAAACGAGACACCCCCCCCCCCCCCCCGTGGATGCCTGAAACCACAGCTAGTACCAAACCCTCTCTGTGCTATGTCTTTTCCTATACATATATACTGTAAATTTAATCTATAAATAGGCACAGTAAGAGATTAACAAAAATAACTAAAAATAAAATAGAACAATTATGACAATGTACTGTAAAAAAGTGATGTGAGTGTGGTCTCTATCTGTTCATATCTTCCACCCACACATGTAATGCCTTTTCCATCTCACCCAAGCACTCACCACACACTGTGCCCAAACTGTTACAGTTTGAGATGTGACAGTAAACCTAGAACAAATTTATTTTTCCTTCTACACAATGTTATGTTCTTACCATAGATCTTAGCATATGACTTCTTGTCTGTCTTTATTAAGTCAAGAACTTTCACCTTTTCACTTAAAGGAAGCACTTGATGCCTTCTTGAATTGGCAGCACTGCTTTGGGGGCTATTATTAAGTGAAATGAGGGTGACTTGAACACAAGCACTGTGATACCATGACAGTCGACCTGATAATCCAGGTGGTTACTAAGTGATTAAAGGGCCGGTAGGGTAGACAAGGTGGATACACAGAACAAAGGGATGATTCAGGGGTCAGATGGGACAGAGCAGGACGGAGCCAGATTTCATCACGCTACTCTGAATGGCACCCAATTGAAAAACTTATGGATTGTTTGTTTCCGGAAGTTCCCATTTAATATTTTTTTATCATGGTCGACCACAGGTAACCGGAACCGTGGAAAGTGAAACCCTGGATAAGGGGGAAGGAGGAGAGACTACTGTATATGGAGGGACAAGGAACAATCAAGGTTGGAGAATGCTAGAATCAGCCCTTTGCTCGGAGAAAATTATCTCCTTCTGTGTAGTAGAAACAAGCAAATGAGAAAGGATTCACACACTCTACTTTCTGTCATCTACAACTAGAAGCTCCTAAAGGGACACATCCAAACCATAGCAACGGGAAACCACATAATGGCCACACATACTCACAGCGCACACAAATCTTTGCATGCCTGAGCCAGGGACCTCACATCTTGGCCCAACATGGGGTCTAGGTGGCGAGATTGAGTTCTTTTCTACTCTTTTTGAGCCTGCCAGAGCAGAACCTTGACTTCCCAATGATGCTCTTGGCCCTTGGACTTTCCCTCCACCTCCCCATCACCAATCAGAACCCTCCTCCCCACCTCTGCTTGTGCAGTCCACACATCCCCCTGGGAGGATCCAAGCTCATCCTACATGCTCCCTCCCCACTCGGCTCCTCTCTAAAACCTGTCCGTCCTTCCAGGCCCAACCTAAGCTACTCCCCCTCCCCAAGTCCTCCCTTAGCAGCCACATCCAAATCCCAGGGATTTCTCTCTTTGAACCCTGACCCTTCTTCCCTAGAGTTCCAAACATTTGGACTGCGGATCTTCTTGTGCTGTTATATAATTCCTTCCTGATGGTGCGTTATCTGTCCAACTACACTAAGAGCCCCCAAGAGCTGGAATCATATCTTGTGTGCCTTTTTGCATTTTCCCTAAGTGTATTTGATTCCCTTTAATCTGACAATTAATTTTTATTATGCATTTATGATGTGTCAGGCATGAGCCTTATTATCCAATTGAATCAAAACTCCACTCTGACCTATGTCTAAAACAAACAAACAAGACAGCTCAGCCATCATGGCTCAGTGGTTGAACGTCAACCTAGGAACCCAGGAGGTCATGGTTGGATTCCCTGTCAGGACACATGCCCTGGTTGCAGGCTCAATCCCTAGAAGGGGGAGTGCAGGAGGCAGTTGATTGATGATTCTCTCTCCTCATTGATGTTTCTATCTCTCTCCCTTTCCCTTCCTCTCTGAAATCAATAAAAATATATATTTTTAAAAATGTGTATGGCAAGTAGACTGCACTACTTTCCAGGAACATTTCTGAGCCTTTTACACATATACATACATACAGATGTCTCACCATAACCCTATGAGGTAGGTACTATTTGCCCCTCATCTTACTGGTAACGAAAATGAAGTACGGAGAGGTTATTTTCCCAATGCCACATATCATGAACACAGTGGAGTTATAATTAATCACACAAAATCCAATTCAAGTTGGATATTATAGACCTAAATGTGAATGTTTTTTAAAAATAAAACTATTAGAGCTTTCTGACGGTGATGTCAGAAAATCCAGACCTTTCTCCTTCCACTTAAAAACACAACAGATTGACTGGTTATAGTGATGTGGGAGCTCTAGAAACCAGTCGAGGGGCTGCAACAACCAAGCAAATGCCCAATTAAGAAAAAGCAGATCTATGTCCTGGCCGGGTGGCTGGGTTGTTTAGAGCATCATCCCGACACCAAGATGGTTTCTGGTTCAATTTCCCGGCAGAGCACATACCCAGGTTGCAGGTTTGATTCTCAGGCAGGGCGTCCCATGAGGCAGCTGATTAATGTCTCTCTCTCTCTCTCTCTCTCTCTCTCTCTCTCTCTCTCTCTCTCTCTTTCACCAATAAAGCATATCCTTGGGTGATGATTTTTATAAAAAAAGAAACACTGAAAGCAGTAGGCAGTTTCATGGTGTTTTTGCACACCCCAGCGGACCCGTTCCCAAGCCCAGGACAATTAGGAGGAAGCCACCCAATTCTTAGTTTCTTCTCTGGGAAAGAATGGAACACATTTGTTTGCAATGTGTAGGCATGCCTGGGGGCTGCCCAAGGGCCTGATTTCTGTTCCATCTGACTCAGACAAGAACAGTGGCGTCGTTTGGAGGCTGCTGTGAGCAGTGGCACATGCCATGGCATCTGAAAACTGCAGAGGAACTGCAGGCCCAGGGGTGCTTGGAGGCAAGAGATGATAGGCAAAGGGATGAAACAGAACCTCTAAGGCCCCGAGAAGAAGCAGAGGCGAGACCCGTAGGGAAATTAAGACATTTAAAAGCAGCTGTGTATACACATAAAAAGCCCACCGATAACATCATACTCAATGACATATTTAAAGCTTTTCCTTTAAGATCAGGGACAAGACAATGCCCCCTTCACCACTCTATTCAACATAGAACTGGAAGTCCTAGCCCGACAATCAGGCACAAAAAATAAATAAAGGCATCCAAATTGAGAAGGAAGAAGTTAATTATCTCTGTTCACAGACAACATGATCTTATATGTAGAAAAATCCTAAAGATTCCACAAAACAATGGTTAGAAGTAATAAATAAATTCAGAAAAATTGCAAGATACAAAAATCAATTGTCTTTCTATACACTTAATAATGAACAATTCAAAAAGGAAATTAAGAAAAAATCCATTTACAATAATATCAATATATATATATTTAGGAATAAACTTAACCACGTGTTAAAAGACTTGTACACTAAAGACTACAAAATATTATTTAAAAAAATTTTAAACAGATCCCAATTCATGAAAAGGCATCCCATGTCCATGGATTAAAAGACATAATATTGTTAAAATTTTGTCAATACTATTGTCAATACTAAAGCAGTCTACAGAGTTGGTATAATACCTATCAAACTCCTAATAATCTCTTTTGCAAAAATAGAAAAATTTATATATACCAAATTTAGATAGAATTTGAAGGGATCCTGAATAGTGAGAACAATAATAATTTTTTTAAAAAGTCAAAGCTCTTATAATTCCTGATTTTAAAACTTCCTACAAAACTACAGTAATCAAAGCAGTATGGTAGAAGCATAAGAATAGGCATATATTCCAATAGAATAGAATAGCCCAGAAATAAACCTCATACATATATAGTCAAATGATTTTCAACAAGAGTACCAAGGCCATTCAGTGGGAAAAGTCTTTCAATAAATGATGTTGGAGATTTCAACACAATTCTCTCAGAAACTGATTCAAAAAGCAGATCGAAAAATTCAGAAAGTATATGAAAGATTTAAAAAGGATAATAACAAAAATGAGACATACATAGACATTGCCTCCCCCAAACTGCAGAATACACATAATTTCCAAGCATCCAAGAAGGATTTGCAAAAACCAACCAATCCCAATACAAAACCATAAAGCAAGTCCCAAATTTCAAAGGGTTAAAATCACATGGAGTATTTTCTCTTACCACAATACAGTTAATCCACACATCAATGTTTTAAACTATAACTAGAACAAATTAAATGGAGCAATATTCTGTATTCATACATAGGAAGACTCACTATTGTCAACATGTCGATTCTTCCAAACTTGATCTGTCGACTCAAGGCAATCCCAATAAAAATCCCAGCAAGTTATTTTGTGGATATCAACAAACTGATACTAAAGTTTATACGGAGCAGCAAAAGACCCAGAATAGTCACCACGATATTGAAAAAACCCCCACAAAGTTTGAAGACTGACAGTACCCAGCTTTAAGACTTACTATAAAACACAGTAATCAAGACAGTGTGGTATTGGTGAGAGAATAGACAAGTAGATCAATAGAACATAGTAGAGAACCCCCAAATAGTCCCACGTAAATATAGTCAACTGATCTTTGACAAAGGAACAAAGGCAATACCATGGTACTGCAAAGATAGTCTTTGCAACAAATGGCGCTGAAACAAAAAACCCTGCACATCCCCACATTAAAAAAATTTAGACACAGACCTTACTCATTTCGCAAAAATTAACTAGAAATGGATCACAGAACTATAAAACTCCTAGATAATAACACACGAGAAAATTTAGATGGCCTTAGGTATGTATTCAACTTTTTAGATCCAACACCAAAGACACAATCTGATAAGCTGGACTTCATAAAAATTAAAAACTTCTGCCCTGCAAACGACAGTGTCAAGAATGGGAAGACAAGCCACACACTGGGAGAAAATATTTGCAAAAGACACATCTGATAAAGGATTATTATCCAAAATACACAAAGAACTGTTAAAATTCAACATTAAGAAACCAAACAAATAGCTATAATAATCAAATCAAATATTATGGCAGAAATAAAAAAATACAGAAACTGTGGGATCAGCTGTCTTCTTCTGAGTACACTGGAGAACCTGGTTTTTTTAAAAAAAGTATGACAAGCTTAGAACTCTAAATTCTCAGCTGAACAAAGGGGTAGGAAGTTAGAAAACACGACTGCCCAGAGGAAATCCCTTATTTTGTGTAGCACAAAGTCTGGATTTCTGAAAACCAAACTCGAAGCCTGTTCCCGTGGTTAACCAAATTACATACAAATTGAATTCATACCCTGGCTTATCATATAATTAAAGTTACAGAGTTGATAGAGAAAGACTTGGAATTTGAGAATTGTGATAGAAATTTAGAATTGTAAACATGTACAAGTGGGTTTATGAAATAAACCCCTCAAAAATTAAGATATCTACCACCTTAGTAAAATTTCTTCCTTCCATTAGTCTCTAACACATTAAAATATCCCCTCTAAGGTGCACATTGGCACATCCCCTCCAAGTAAAAGATAGTTGTTGCATCTGGCATCTCTGATCACAGTGAAAGAAGCACATCTTTGGGTTTTGGAGGCAAAATACATCGGAGGCACTGTCTTTCTCAGTAGCTGCTATTTACTGAGCAAGGCATAAGGCTGCCACAGGGGGGCAGTAGGGGGTCTTGGAAACGTCCTTGGCTTCAAACTGATATGGATGACCTTGAGTCAATTTTCTCATATACATATAAAGATAATCAAAAAACCTTCTTCATAAGATTATGGTAACTAGCCCTGGCTGGTGTGGCTCAGGTGGTTGAGTGTCGTCCTGTGCACGGAAAGGTCTCCGGTTCGATTCCCAATAAGGGCACATACCAGCGATGTCCAGTTGTTCGATTCCTGGTCAGGAGCGTACGGGGAACCATGGATCGATGTTTCTCTCTCACATTGATGTTTCTTTCTGTCTCTCTCCTTCTCCCTTTCTCTCTCTCTCAAATCAATAAAAACATATTTATTAAAAATATTATGCTGATTATAAAATGAGCTAACATGTGGTCAGGTTCTTTAAAGCACACGTCCTCAAATGTTGTCTGCATCACTTTGCGATTTGATGGCAGTCCAATGACAATATTTTCATCAGCCCAGAAAGCAGAACTTACTCCATTAGGATTGGCAACAATTTGTTTTCTATTGAGTTGTAGCATAGAGACGGAGTGCATATAAAACATTAATTCAGAGTTGTAGTAATAATAATAATAATAATAATAATAATAATAATAATAATAATAATACCATACCCTTCCTCTAGAACTCGAGTCAGAAATCTAATACTGGCAAAGTGGCCACTTCCCCTGCAAACTGACACCCAGTGGAGCCTGAGATCTGCAAAGCGTCTACCTGCTGCTGTCTTGGCTCGGCTTTGCATCCAGTAAACCACTGGGTGAGGGGTGCACTAACTTTCCCTGAGCTCCCAAACTCTGGAAGGATGCGTTTGGGTTATTCTGAGCTCCTCCCACTCCACTTCTGAGAGGCGGGTGCTAGCTCTCTTCCCTGTCGGGACAGGTCACATTTAGAACACCAGAGGGCGGCCACTCCCCACAAATTGCGGTGCTTGGGAACAAAGCCGCTAGACCTCAGGTGAAATGGGCACAGCCTCCCAGGCCTCCTCTTCTCCCTTCTCCTCCTCAGCTTGCACCACCCATCAGAACGACACAGTGCAAAGGTCCATGGCTTTAGGGACAGAGAGACCTGTGCCTGACACCCAATTTGACCACTTACTTCCTATGTCCGTGGCTAAGTGATCTCACCTCTCCACGCCACGGTTTGCTCATCTGGAAAAATAGGATACAAAAATAGCACCTACCTCATAGGATTTCTGGAGTAAGTGAGATGATGTGGGCAAGTTGCCATTGTCCAAATGTTAGGTATCCTTAGGCATCATAACAGTTCATCTGATTTGATTCTCACCAGAGTCCTGGCAGGCAGAGTAGGTAAACATGATTCTAATTTTTCAGATAAAGAAATTGAGGCTCAAAGGAGTTTAATGACCTGCAGAATCTTGATGATAACAGTAGTTTCATTTTCCACGCTTCTCTCTCAACCATTTTACAGTGATGGCCTCTCTTAAGGAACTTGCTTTTAACCCTTTTGGGATTCCGGGATTCTGAGGCCCAGAGAGGGCAAATATTTTACTGGAGGCTACATAGCGCGACAGTGGCCAATCCAGGACCCAGCGAGCCAGACTAGTGGGCTCCCAGCTGGGTGCTCTGGCATCTGCCCTGCGACACCCTTTTAGACACCACTGACTGCTTGCTGTGGGGACCCAGCTGTGAGTCTTGTCTCCCTAACTAGACTGTGAGCTAAAAGGGGGAGAGGGGATTCCTGAGGAGCACATGCTTCCATGGGAAAGCATCCGTGACATGCTGCTAGATGAGGCAAGAGACCCACAAAACAGTGGGCACGTCATTCTAGTGTGCATCTGTGTACACGGGCTGAGGGAAAGGGTGGAAGGTCTTAAAACACAAAGGTGAAAATGCGTATCTCTGGGTAGTGGAGTTACACGTGGTTGTGTATGTTCCCTTGCACTTTTGTGTGCTTCTAGATTTAACCAATAAATGTGTCTTACTTCTATGATCATAACCAATGTCTGTGTACATATGTGTTATACTATTTCAACTGTCCACTTAAAAAATTAAAATGACATTAAGAGTCAGGGATCTTGAGCTGTCTTCCACGTTATCTATTGTGGCTTTGGAAGAGCCTCCTAACCTCTGTAAGTTTCAGTTTCTCCACCTGAAATACAGGGAGGATAACCCTCATCCCCCTTCACCCAGAGGCTCAGAACCTGCCCGGTTTGGCTGCCTGGGCAGCTCCGAGCCGCTCCCTCTTGTCCCCAGGCAGTTGCAGCCCTCACCTCTGTCTCCACTCTCCTCATTCCATTCGTTAACCCCTTACCTGCTGCAGCTCTGGTTTTGCCCCTCTTTCCAGACTGGAATCTACCGGGGTCACTGGCAGCCCCCTCGTTGCAAAAACCAATGGCCCCAACATGTCTTTCTCTCTAGTTCTCTCTCTTTCTCTCTCCAAAGCCCTCTCTGTTTCCCTAGCGTGGGCTCTCTTGGCTGCACCCTCCTCCTTGAAGCCCATCTTCCTTTGCCTTCTCTGACCATGGCTCTCCTCAGTTTCCGCAGCCCTTCCTTGTCCCAGGAGGTTAACTCATCTCTCAAGTACTTATCTACCTGACTCTTCTCTGCAAACTCCAGGGAAGGCCCACGTGCCTGGGGAGCCTTTCTCAAGGGCTAGCTCACACTCCACAGCCACTCAGCGGGAGGGTTCTGCCCACCTTCCTGCAACACACCAGGCCTTCTGAGCCCTCCGCCTGGCTTCCTTCTTTATTCAGGGTGTCATCCTGGACCGCCACACCTCTCATTCTTGTGGACTCCCCACGGGTCGCCCTGCTTTCACTGTCTTTCCCTCCCGCCTAGCCGAGAATGCAGCTTACGTCTCCAGTATCATCCTAACTGTTACCAAACTGTTGCTATGTGTCAGGAATTGAGAGCTTCATCTGTGTCCTTGTGTATTCATTTATTCCTCAAAACCACCATATAAGAGGAATAGTATTCATACCTCCATTTCAAAGATGAGGAAAGTGAGGTACAGTCTGTGACCCCTCCTGGCATATGGGTAACTATAGTTACTGAAGTTTTGGAACTCAGACTTGGACACAGGTGGTCTGATCTGGCTGCAGAGCACCTGCCCTAACCATTCTGCTATGCTGCTGATTTGCATCTTTTGCCAAAAACATCTGCAGAATAAAGTCCACCTTTAGCCACCGGCCTCTGAGAACCCGCCTGTGTAGCTCAGACACACTTTTTCAGTCCTATTGTCCACTGTGCCCCACTGGTGTCCTCCCAGCCCCCATCCTGGCTGCATCCCTCACCTACCACTTTCACAGTTAACCTGTCCTCTGGCTACCCAGTGCCTGTCAGGCTCAACCCCATCTCCATATATTCAACCCTCCCATCCTCCAAGACATCTCAAATGCCTCCTCCTCCATGCGGAGCAGGCTGTGCTGGGAGACGGGAAACCTGAGCTTGTGTCCCTTGACCTTCCAGAAGGTAAGTGGAGGATCTGGAGCCCTCACTGCAGGCCTCGTTTTCCCACCCATAGATGGAGGGGGTGGGAGTAGAGCAACTTTGGGAACCCCTCTTGCTCTAACAGTCTAGGACCCTATGCTTTCATGATCCCTGAAATGGAAGTGAATGTGCCCTCTTGAATCCCTTTAACATTCAGAGAATGGAGAGAATGTTAGGAGTGGGAAGGACTTCAGAGAAAATAGAATCCCACCCCCTCACTTTCCCCCCAGAGATGCTGAGGTCCAGGGAGGGGCAGGGGCCTGGTTAACCATCTGGGCAGTGGTAGGAGGGAAGGCCGTGCTGCTGCTTCATGGAGGACCCATCTCAGCAGGTCCCCAGCCTCCAGAGAAAGGGGGTGGGAGGCTCCTGAAGGGCAGAGGCTGCAGAGCCTGGCCTGCCAGCTCCAGGAGGCCTCGGTAGTTTTCCGTCACCAGCAGCCTGCAGCCCGGGACATGTGCTCCCCGTCCTCTGGCCCCCACATTCCGCTGCACACTCAGGCAGCAAAGTGGCATTCGGGGCCCAGTTGGGGCGGGGCAGCAGGGAGGCAGAGACGCAGACGCACATAAAGACTCACAGGTGCTGGTACAGCCACAATCATAGAGACCCAGAGAGCTAACGCAGGTCCCGGTGAGGCAGAGGCCCAGACACAAACAACACCCGCAGATGTGTACACTCACCCTGCCGGACATGGAGACCCATGCTCATAGTCACGCGCTAGTAAGACTGTCACACAGAGCTATTCATCTCATGCACAGACACGTTCATCACAGGCACGTTCATACCGAGGCTCACGTGCACACTCAGCAGACACCTCTCCATCAACCCCTGCCATCCTCCCTCCTGCCCCTGAGCTCCCACATGCCTGTAGGTCAAACATTGGTCCAGGAAAGGGAGAAAATTGCTGAGCTGCCCCAGGCTGGGGAGGCAGGACAGGAGCTCTGCTAGACAAAACCCAGGCGCCAGCCAGGCTCCCTCTGCACTGAGAAGGCACCACGCTTGATTCCAAAGAATTCGCTGGACCATCCCCACCCTGTTCCCAGAGGCCAGGGGAAGGCGGTTCTGGAGTACCACCCCCTCCATGACCTTTTCTCCAGCCCCTGGGATCCCCAGCTGCTACAGGCAGATTAGAGAGGCATCTGGCAGCCCTTCCCTTGGTTCATTTTCCCTCCAATGCCCTCTCCACCCCCACCTGTGCCCCCCACCCTACCTGATTCCTCCACCCACACACCTGGCTCCCTCACTCCATCCCCCAACTTCAACCCATTGGTTAACCATCTGAGGAGTGGTGGGAGGGAAGGCCGTGCTGCTGCTTCATGATCAACTCCATACCTTCACTGAGTCCACCACACTCAAGAACCAGAAACACGACTCCTTGCCCCGAAGGACCCTGGGATTACACCTGCTCCATGGCCACCTGGTCCAGCAGGCGACCACATGCACATCCCCGCGTGGGCAGACAAGGGCTCCAGTTCCCGCCTCACCCACTATGTGTCTTGGAACCTTGGGCTGGTGGCTTCAACTCTTGGTGCTTCAGCTCCTTCTTTTATTAAATGGGAATGATGATGCCGCCCAGCTCTCAACAATTCTATGGTTTATCAAAGGGCCTAACTTAGAACCAGGTTTTCACCAAGAAATGGGCTGCACAACGTTGGTTTAATGATTCAACCTCTCTCAGCCTCAGTGTCTCTGTCTGGATAATGTGATAACCCTGGCCAAGCCGGGGTAGTGAAACACCCTGTCTGCAGCAGAGTTCCTGAGGCGGGAGTCCCACCAACGGCTCCCCTCCTCTGCGCCCACCTCCCGTTCCCATGCAGCCTGGACGGCAGGCGCAGGCTGTCAGCCTGAAGGAATTTACCGCCCAAGAGTCTGATCGGCTGCCTGTGTCTGCACAGAGGCCGCCTTGTCCCTCTGGGGACCCGAGACCGTGGTGCCAGCGGCCACCCCCCTGCAGCCTGACCCAAGCCCGCTTCAAGGCCTGGCGTTGCGCCCAGGTCCCCCCTCCCACACCGCTCACTCCCCAGCCTCCCAGGGCGCACAGTTCCTGTCCCATCTCCCCACCAGCCCGCTCACACCCCACCTACCCTCAGGCAGGAGAACGAGGCTGCCCCTGAAGCTGGGCCCCTATCCCTCCCCAAGTGAAGGCCTGGCCTCTTGCACCTACCCCCATCCTGGGCATCCTGACAGATGACCTCAGGTTTCCCCGGAAAAAGCCTTGGAATTTGGGAGAACCTCTCAGAATGAGTTCATCTGAGGATGGGGGGGGGGGGGCGGGAAGGGGGGAAGAGGAGGCCTGGGTGAGTGTGTTTCCTGTTGGGACGGGCTCTGGGGGATCCTGGTCAGGTTGTGGTGATCCAGTCAGAGTGTTCCCAGTCTGAGCTGGAGATCAGGCCAGGTGTTATCTGGTCCAGGATTGGGATCTTCTCTGTGTTCAGGGTTGGGGTGTTGGGACCCACTCTGGGTGTTCTCGCCTGAATGTTGGCATCTTCACCGCGTTCCCGGGTGGAGTGGTGGGGGTCCTCTCAGACGACTCCGGGTCTGCACTGGAAGCCAATCCAGGTGAACCTGGTCCAGGTGTTGGCGTCTTCCTGAGCGCGCCGAGTCCCGTGTGGTCTTCTCCAGGCCAGATTGCTGGGCTTTCTCTGGCCTGGCGGTTGGAAACCCACCCAGTGTACGAGGCCCAGTGCGGTGGACCTCATCTGGGAGTTCAGGGTCTGGGTTTGGAGCCTGCCCTAGTGGCTGCTTGGGTTTTGTTTGGGCCCCAGACCCTCTCACTGGCCTGAAGGCAGACATCACGTCTAAGTCCCCAGGTCACCAAGACCCTCGTGGGGCCAGCTAAAGGAGAGCCCCTGGCAGCTCAACTTGCCATCCCTTCTCAAGCCCAGGAAATGGAGGCAGACCCAGACCAAGCTGGGAATCAGTCATGACTTCACCCTGCCCAGAGGCATGTCCCGTCTCTTCTCCAGCTTCAATTCCCTCCCCACGAAAATGAAAGAAGTGCATTTGATACTCTCCAAGGTCCCCTATACCATCTTCTCCCTGGTCCTCACCTACACGCAGTCATGCAGCGTACTCTTTCTCGCCTCTTGACTTTTGCCCACTCTGATCTTCCTGCCTAGAATGCCTTCATCTTTCCTTCCCCTCTCCAGCCTCAACCTCTTTCTTCTAGAAAATTCCCTCCACCCCTCTCCCCTTTTCCAGGCCCAGGGTGTGAGCTGTTCTTGCTCTGAGACAGACCACAGGCAGCCACAGGTCCTCTTCTGGTTCTCTCCATCCTGCTGGCAGCACTCTGAGGGCAGGGCTAGCCTCCTCCTGGCCCCACTCTGAAACCTCCTTCCAGTTGGGCAAGGGGCACAGGGTCTCGTGCTCAGCTCAGCCACCACCCAGGCTGGCAGGTGACCCTTTAAGAAGGAGAAAAATCTCTTTAGTCTGTAATACACCGGATGGCGGGGTGGGCTCTAAGCGGATTTGGGAGCCCTCTCCTGCCCACACCAATCCTCCTTTCCAGGCCACTGCACTCATGTGACAGCCAGTCTGGGGCACCAGGGAGCCCTCAGGACCACGTGGTTCCAGGCAAGTAGCCGCACACTGACTGCCCAATTCTTCCTCTCCTGGGCGGCTGTGTACCCAGCAGACAGAGTCAGAGAACTCGGAGGGAGGAGTGACTCAGAGCAATTACCCTGTCCTCTGGACCAGCTGCAGTCAGCCATGTGAGCATGAGTGTCCACGTGTGTGCATACACACGCAGATACGCACATGCCCTTCTCGTGGAGAGGAAACGGAGCCAGATTCTAGGCTGGGCACTTTACAAACATTCCTACAGAGCTTTGTAGGAATCCTTAGCCCCATCTGCAGAGGAGGAAACTCAGGCTCAGAGCAGGGAGGGGCTAAGCTGAGATATACACACAGCTATAAAGTGTGAAATCGGAATTCAAAGCCATGCCCTTTGCACACATACATTCATATACATGAATATTCTCTCTCTCTCTCTCTCTCTCTCTCTCTCTCTCTCTCTCTCACACACACACACACACACACACACAACTTTCACACACTTCTGCTCAAGCCCTACACAGGGTCATTGAATAGCCAAGCTAGAAGGTAACTTAAGAAATCATCTTGTCTATGCCATTCCATTTTACAGAAGGAGAGAGGGGAGGGGATTTAAGTTTTCAAGACAGTTAGGATGAGTCAGAACCAGAACTGAAATTCACATTTGTTGTCACACAGAATCACGTGTACACACATCCATATACCACACAGCTACCCAAGGGTTCTAACACAAAACCCATGAATGCACCCACTGGCAGTCATTCCCAGCTCACACAAATCCTTACTTGTTCTGCATGCCTGCACACATGCCATTGCACACATCTGCTCATCACACACGCCATCATGTATGGTATCACACAGTGCACACTCATGTACACTCATTCACACACAATCTTCACACTCACGTACCTACTCATACATACACACTCATCCATGTTCCCTCCCTCCCACACTCACTGTACCCACCCCTGATGCAGGAGGGAGAAGTGGACCCTGGATGGATAGCGTTCAGGCTGGATGCTGGGGTGGGAGCTACATACTGAGCCTGACGTTATTGGGTGCGCCCTGGCGCGGCCATGGGCAGCCCTGGGAAGTCGCTCTGCCCACACTTCCCCACAGGCTTAGGCAGCTCCCCTTGGCCAGACCTAGCAGGTCTCTAGAAAGTGCTGACTCAAAAGCCAGGAGTGGCCAGGCCAGGCTGGTGGCAGGGCTGGTCCTGGCTTGTGAGCTATTTGTCTTCTGCCTGGGTCTGTACCATGGACTCTCCTCCCCCAAAGGGCCAGGCCCTGAGTCATGCGGCCTCTTCCTACAGCCACTGAGGGTGAGGATTGAGGTGCCAGGATCTGGGAGCAAAGCCACCAGAGCTGCCGATGGATTTACCAGAGTTGGTGAGCCAGCTAACTCAGGCTTCCTAAGGACACTGAGATGGGCCAACAAGGCCACCGAAGTCTTCCTCGTTGCCTGAAGTGTTATGTATGCACCAAGTACAAACTAATCCCAAAACCTAGCCCGTGAACAGTGCCAGTGGTCCAAGTTCTCTAACAGGTGCTCCAAGCCGGACAGACCAGACACATGAACAAATAGTTACAATGCAGGGTCTGGGGGCTTTAACGCAGAGATAGATGGAGCATGGTGGGAGCACGGGGCGGGAGAAGCCAAGTTGGACCAGAGATGGGGCCACTTGTCCTGGGTCTCAGTGGTGAGTCGGAGTTCACCAACAAGCTTTCCAGAGGGAAATCTGTGTATCTGTGTTTCAGGGAACAGAGACCAGCCTCAGTGTGGGCTGAAGTAGAGGAGTGGAAGGGAGGCAGGGGCTGAAGGTATAGGAACTGAGGCCAATTGGAGTCAGCCATTCAAACAATTTTTATCAGGTATCTGTTGTGTGCTAGATTGTGACACACAAAATATACAAACCTGTCTCTCAAGAGCTCAGGTTCAAGGGTCCCAAATTCAGCTGATATAGATGAGTGAAACAGGAGGGTATACGCAATAGGGAATGGTGGGGCTTGTATCTAATAAGTGAGTTCATGCCCTGTCTAAAGCTTTTAGGTCCAAGAATATTTGCCAATCCTGGGGCAGCCAAAAACTGATTTGCGGCTGGGTTCAGATGACAGACTCT